AATTGTTTTTTCTTTCTTAAAGTCAATTTGCACTTTCTGTGTTGCTGTAGGGGATCAGAAGCAATCATAGCAATTATGTTCATTTTTTACTAACAGAATAAAAACACTGGGAAAATTAAACACTTTCCTGTTAAACTAATGTAACAGGCTGTTATGGTTAGAAGAATAGAAACCAAATAATCTTCATCTGTACCACAATCTGTCACCTAAATCAAAAACACAACCTGTGACGCTAATTCTTTGCAGAATTTATTAGGATTTTTTTAGGAATTGACTAGATAGTATCTTCTAAGGTCACCTTTGCCAGAGAAGAGCAACATTTTCAGGCTACAAACATGATAAAATACATACACGATAGTGAAGCAGAGGGGAAGGGACACCAGATAAGTAGGAAGAACTGTGATTACTTTCTTAAGTAAATTTACATGGGTTTACTCACCTTCTTCATTTATCATTTCTTCACAGGAATACCAAATCCCAGCATGAAACTTTCTCTCCACAAACTTGTCATCTCCTGTCTCCCAAATGTACTGCACAGCYTGGCTGTTGTTGGCATCGGGGCTGTTGAAGCGGATGCAGAGATCACCTTTGCTCTCTCCAGTACAGAAAGGTTTGGCAACTTTTCTTGTCCCTTCACACCAGTAACTGCTGCTGAATGCTGTAATAGAGAAGACTAAAGAGAGAAAACTGAGAGAAAATGCTGCTGAGGCTCTGTGCCGTCCGTCCGCCTCTTGGACTGAGGCTGGCATCCTCTACAACTGCACTAGCAATTATTCCAGAAACAACCTCTTACAAATTTGTGCATCTATCTGCCTGATGAAATACCTGCCTGTATTTACCATCCCATTCTTCATTGCTCTCAGAAAATTGTACCAGCTTAGGAGTTTAAGACAGAGAGCATAGATCTGGGCATGACCAGATATCATGTGGCAGGGGAGATTAAGAATAAAGGACAGTTGCTTGGCAGCAATGTATTGTGAAAGAAATATGAGGAAATGGCACAATAAATTATAATTTGCCCCATGAATCATGCACAGAATACAGAAGCATTGGAAGTACCCCAGTAAGCAATCAGTAAAGTTTTATTTATACAAAATATGCCTGTTTACCTTGATCGGAAGTGGAGTCAGACTGATGGAATCTCTCTATTTCTTAGCTAAGGAATAAATAAAATCTCCCAGTTCCAAATGCTCCTGTAACACTGAACACTGCTTAAATTGAATACAGTTGTGACTCTYACTATAAAGAAACTCAAAAGGAGCTAAAACCAGCTGGTAAGCTATGGCATTTCACAGCATGCAGCRTTGCCCAAGACCACTTGAAAGGTGAATGCAGATGTTCAAAGTTCCCCTACTGACAAATGAAAGTAATAAAYTACCTGACTTTGCTCTTGATGGATTCCTGGGCACTGTCCAGTCTGCCTCCGTGAACACATAATACAAATTTTGACCAAGTTGTGTGAAACATTAGAGAAAATGCTGAGTTTTCCTAATTCTATATGTGCGTCTTATCTGTGAAATAGCACTTCTTTTTCCTCCGTCTAGAACATATTTCCCACCTTGATGTGTTATATATGTTTTTTCTTCTGCCTGTTTGATGATGCAAGTAAGTTATGCAAAGAACTAAAAAGAGCAGGAGTGTTAATTATTCACTGCTTCATTTTACAACTGTAAAGTCAAAACAACTGTCCTGGGGGAGAATGGTATCACAGGACAGACACTGARGTCATATATGTATCTTCTAATGAAAATAATGTGGATTTTTAAGACAACTCTCTAGAAAAGATGTCAGAGTTGGAGAAGCAGTTGGCTAGATGAATCCCAGTATGAAACTTAAAGGAACGAGATAAATGCCTACTTTATGTTGTTACAAAAAGCTCAGCTTACAGAGCTTGCCAGCAGCAGAGTGAAAGACCAAGCAGGTCTGGACTGCAGAGCAAATCTCACAACCCAAAAATCAGATGTAGCTTGAGCCAGGAGTTATTTCCTACATCGTTGTCTTACTGCATTTTCACAAAGGTGTAGCACTTGTGAGAACAGGAGTGGGAGCAAGTGTGAAAACAGGATGAGCAGGAGGGAAGAAGGGAGGGAAATCCTTCTAAGGATGAAACAATTATCTATGTTTCTGTTCCTATGTGTAATTTGTGTATGGTTGTATTCAAACATTTTTGGGGCCTGTGAAACCATTGATACCTTCTGGTTGACAACTGCAGTCTCAGATGTTTCATGGAGACAGTTTTCTGCTCATGTCTCAGCAATGCTGGTACCACAACTTCCAAATAAATTTTTCATGTAAGAATGCTCTGTATAAAAGGATAAATGTATTGCATGAGCATTTATTGGTTAGTTCTGTCAAACTGTGAAAAAAGAAAGAAAATAAAGAGAGGAGCAAATCGATTAGCTAGACCTTCCTTCAAGCAAAGTGTTACATGCAGTGATTTTTACTGGAATAAAGTTCAGAGATGTGTAAACTGAATAYATGCAGGTAACTCCAAGACAGCCATGATCCACAGCTSAAGCATGAAGAAAASATTAATTCCATTATTTYACTAGCAAAAYGGGGACACATGCACTGCTAAGCTTATTCCATCTTAGCAGSRGCAAAAAGCAGCGAGGCCTAAGCCTTGYGTTRTGGGCCTGGAGCAGGCACAGTCYATCACCRGGTTATATTTTACAAACTCTGAACTTCTTATCTCCCTTCCCCCCTTAAAAAGAGGCCGTAATCCTATGGGAAGAATGCTTTCAAGTATTTAACAACATTCTGTTACCTACTCCAAGAGAATTCCATTTCTTCTTCAGCACACAGAAAACAACCCAAAGCAAACACAGATAGTTGAATTCTCTCACACTGAGAATTTTCTTAACATCTCCCAGGTGTAAGGTTGGTCTCTGAGTGAAAACAATTCTAGAAACAATGCAGTTTTTTGTCGCCTGGTTTTCTGTTTTTTGGGTTTTTTTTGTCTCCTGGTTTTCTTCTGGTTTTCAACCCTGTTCTCCAAGAAGAAGATCATGAGTGTTATTAAAAACTGGGCTATCGCTGACCTCCACAGTCCCAGCGTGGGATCACCCCATCTTTCTGCACTGCAGTGACCTCCCTGGAGGGCTCGGGGAGTTTTGTGAGCCGAAGTCTACGAAGGATCTGAAATTATTGGAGTTCATCCAAAGGATGGCAACGAGGATGGTGAAGGGCCTTGAGAGGAATCCCTGAGAGAGGAGCTGAGGGAGCTGGGGCTGCTCAGCCTGCAGGAGATGAGATCAGAGCTCACGGGGGATGCAGCTCCTCTGAGGGCACGGCTGATCCCTCTGTGAGCAGAGAAACTCCAAGGAATGGCTGGAGCTGTGCCAGGGAGGGTCATGGTGGGTGTTAAAAAAAGATTCTTCCCTGTGGGTGACGGGGCACAAGGTCACGCAGACACCAATATGATGAGCATGATCCGTTTATTTCTAATACAAGCTCTTTTTTATTTACTTTCATAAGCCAGCCTTTCTATATGATTGGCAATTATTCATTGGTTAATTTAGCAGTCTGTCTATTACTTCTTAGCATATGATTGGTATATTTGCAAAAGCGTGTTTTGTATGCCTTGCAGTTTTAAATCAACGTTCTCTGCATTTTGCTCCTTCTTCAATCGTTCTTTTGTTCTTCAATTGCTCTTTGTTCTTGCTTCTTACTATGTTTCTTCTTCATGGTCAGTGTGAGGTACGTGTTACACTGCTGTAGTCACGTCCTCCTCTTTCCCATCCTCTTCTATCTCACTCTGCTCTATCTTGTAGTCTGGGTTGCTCAGTAACAGCAATTCATGACCTCRTTCCCACAAAAACCTGTCTAACAGAGATTCACCTGACTGAGATCCTTCTACACTTCCCCCAGAGCGTGGTCAGGCACTTCACAGGGAAGTGGTCACAGCACTGAGCCTGTCTGCGTTCAGGAAAGGTTTCGACAATGCTTCTGTGATTCTGTGATTCTGTAATTCTGTGATTCTGTGATTCTGTGATTCTGTAATTCTGTGATTCTGTGATTCTGCGATTCTGTAATTCTGTAATTCTGTGATTCTGGGAAGGGCACAAGCCATCCTTTGGCACAAACAGCCACAAGTTTAATTTCTCTTGGAAATGATAAGACAACATTTTCCTGACTCTCAATATTCCCAATCTAAAGTRTGCCAGTCGTAAGCTACACTTTAAATTGATTGTATTATAAAAGGTTTTATTCTCTGAACCTGCATAACACATAGATTTATTAATGTTTTCAGGGTCTTCTCTTTAACCAGAAAAGATGGAAAGAGTTTTTTGAAAATTAAAGCTGAAATTCATTGTCAGGCTCTCCAACCTGGCAACTGAAATTTTGAAGAAAACACTGAATGTCACGAGAATTGTAGTAAAACTTTAACTGCTGATAATATAATTGTTTTCATATTTAGATTCTCCCTGATCCTACATTGGCTGGGCATATTTGAAAAATTATGATAAAAAAGCATAAAACCAACTATTACTGAGCTACTTGYTAACAGACTACTACTCAGGAAGCTTCCTACACTAAGTTTTTCTATGTTCTRAGGTRTCATTTATTGGTYTTATGARGTGTATATAAATATRTATATGTGTTTTTATGGASCTGGGTTGCATTCTGGAAAAATCACTGGCAAAATTCCTATGGASCTTCAAGGAACAGAATCAGCCCTTTAATGTTTTAATAGTTTTCTGACTTCTTATTGGCTAATGGACAAGCTACAGTAAGCAGAGTTGCTGTGAAGTTTAAACTAAGCTCTCTCTGCCTTTAATCAGAAAAAACAAAACGCGGTTGGAATCTAGCAAAGCTAAACATTTTAGGACACTTCCTCACTTACTTGCAAAGAAGGTTCATGGAACAGTGGTATTCATAAAAGAAGACATCTTTACTTTTTTTTTTTTTTTTTCTTTTTTTTTTCCCCACAGGACAGAGTGATATAATCGCTCTATTGTAGAGTGAAATCGCAGCATATTGGGGACAAATTTATTTGAATGGGCATTGTGACATTTTTTGCTCTCTATTCCAGTATGGGACTTTGGTCCAGAATACCTCCAACATCTGCCAGCTCCATCATGATATTGTTTCTTGTGAAACAGGTAAGCTAATTCAATAATTAATAATGGACAGTATAAAAAGTATAAAAGCGAATTTTCAGTACATAGCATTTTAACTGTCACAAACAGCATGTTTGTATCAAAAATTCTTCTGAAATAACAATTTATTTTTTTTACAAATTAGTAATGAGAAATAATGTCTGCAAAGCTGTAGAGTTTTATATTAGAACTCTATTTGAGTAGGTCATTATTACAACTTTCTTCTATTAATCCTCATTCATACAGTGAATAAATTGTGTTTACAACCCTTACAAGTCACTTTTTATAGCAATATGGATCAGTATTGAATTATATTTGTTTTTCAGTTTTGCTATGAGATAACAATACTATTATGGATCATATTTATTTTATACCTTTTTTTTTTCTCTGTTCTAAACTCAGCTTTGTTTTTCTTCTGGCACTACTTTTAAGCCTTTGAGTTGTATGAAGGGTGAGCATTGAATCTCCAGTTTGTGAAATCTGCTGTTATTGGTTTCCTTCTGCACCTCACCTTCATACAGAAARCTAGTAAATCTGCATGTGATTTCTACCTTTGTTTCTTGTAGAGATCCACTAAACCATCTTTTTTTTTTTTTCCTAAATATAGACCAAATTCTGAATGCTTACTTCTTTTTTCTATATTGCCTTATAATCTGGAAGAGTTCTAGGTATTTAATGACAAAATATCTAAGTGTAATTAACTTCAAGGAAATTTTCATGCAGATTTTTAATAATTATTATTCATTAATATAAATTTTGATTTGAATAAATTTTTAAACTAATTACTGATGTTTGGTACATTTCAGTTTAACAGAATAAAATTCACTTATATATTTAGGGTACACTTCTATGAAGTGTATGGGCATTAGGACAATAAAGAGACTTACTATAAACTGAAAGTGATCACTTATTCTCCATTTTCTTGAGTTTCTAAGAAAGTGGGTTTGCATTTGTATGTGCTGTAGAGCCCATATCTGTGTTCCTAGCATTTTTATAAAGAAAGGGTTACCAGGAGACAAATATATATATTTAAGACAATATTCCTTATATTTTTGTATAATTCAAATCTAGAGCTTCTCTGTTTAGAGCTTCTGTTTGTAGAACTGAAACGACTCTCAGATTTGTGAGACACCTTGGCCAAAGCATCAGTTCCATCAATGCTAATCAAAAATCTTCCAAGTACTTCTGTGAAATCAAAACTTTGCTAAACTAATCACAGTTACTTTGTCACAGTGGTTCTTGCAATTTGTTCAAGGAAATAGGTGTTATATTTCTTTATATTTCATTTTATAGGAAACAAATATTTATAGGAATATCAGTCATAAGTCACTMTATCTGTATTTTCTAGCAAAAACCTCTACAGACAGGAAAAATATCCATCAGACTAAACCCAAATCATGGCTGAAAGAATGAGTAAATATTTTTCGGCTTCTATTTCTAGTTTATGCCCAAATGGAAGAGCTTTTTTTCTGTCCATAAGAGCATAGTCTGAATAAACAGAAATACTTCATTTCACTGCCAGCTTACCATAAAAAAAATTAAGAGTGAAATCCTGACTATAATATGATGGGTTATGAAAAATTTAAATTTAAACCAGTCTGCAACCATATATAATCCATTTCCTAAATGAAAGCTTCAGGCAGCATTTTCTTCTGCATACAGTATGTGTCTAAAGAATGGTGTCTTCTTGGTGCAGTTTGTGGGTGCTGAGCAATCTAAATAAATGGCCAGATACTTCCAGGGAGTTCTGACAAAATTTCCGTACGGGTGAACTTCCGCACAAACAGGGGCCAGGCTCACCAAAAAAACTTCAGACAAACTGAAATGACATCCAGTGTAGGGCAAAAGGTCATGGACTTTCTGAGCTTCTGTCTTGGACAGAATGGAGTTTCRTTTTCCTGTTTAAAGTCCTCTTTAAAAGCAGTGGCAGGCAATTGAAATATRCAACAGATCAAAAGCTGCATGTTTTCCCTGGTTGAGATCATGGGAAATTCACCTGAAAGTTTGTATTTCTACCATTCARCTTGCACTGTGTCTAAGTTTTAATAGAACTGTATAACCCAAAATTTAGATTGTAATAAAACCTCCCTGGGTTTGTAATAATGACCTGTACCAGCTGCAGGGACATTTGCTGGGTTTTGTCAGAATAGAGCCACAAGGCCAACACCACATCCCTGAGTTTTCAAGGCCAGGTTGCACATGGTCAMTGTAAGGGATCCTTGTCCATTCAGTGGGGCTGGAACAAGAWGSTCTTTWGGCCCCTTCCAACCCAAACCATTGTAAAATTCTATTGTTCTATAACTTGGCCTTCTATAACTGGGAAAAAACAAGAGCGAGCCTCCACAATCTCTGTGGTTTTCTCTGCTCCTCATACTGACCCAGTGTATAGACCAACCTTTTCCTGAGAAAACCTGTGCACCTCTCTGAAGAGCCATGGAGACATGGATGTCAAGATACAGAAGCAAGCCTGTCTCTTTGACTTTGTGAATTTGACTCCTTTTCACTTAAACAGACACAGAACATYARGGTGTCTCACYTCCTTCATTTTCCCTTYCCTCTAAAGGCTMGTGCCTTATTCCCAGTSTRYTTGCTTTGCCTTCTAGTGGCARYRTRGAYATATCATGYAAGATTCCCATTCTTGYGACCCAGGTTCCAAGGGAATGGGTGAAGCTGAGTCAGGGGAGGTTTAGGGTCAATATTAGGAAAAGGTTCTTCACTCTTGTGACCAGTGACAGAACTCAAGGTAACATCAGGAGGCTGAGTTRGGGGAGATTTAGKTCGGATATCAGGAARAAGTTTTTCACCCAGAGGGTGTTTGAGCACTGAACAAGAGAATGGTGACAGYCCCAAGGCTGCCAGAGCCCAAGAAGTGTTTGGACAATGCCCTCAGGGACAGGGTGGGATTCTYGGGSTGGTCCAGTGCAGGGCCAGGAGCTRGACTTGAATGATCCTTGTGTATCTGGTCCAGCTCAGGATTTTCTCTGATTCTCACATGAAAGTAAACAACTGTCTCATGCAGTTAATACAGAAAAGGCTTAACAGGATGTCCCATGCAGAAAAGATTGAAATCTTCTCCTTGGAGCACCTACATCAAACCCYTTCAAACCAAGAAGGGAATGAAAGCTGATTTTCCTCATTCCCAGGCACTGCCAGCATTCTTCAGCCTTTCTCTATATTTATTCCTTTCCCCAGTGTCCCCCTGCACACAGTCATCTATCAACAGCAAGCTCGCTTTTTTTAGTTATTATTGGTAGCCCTTGAGTATCTGATGATCAATTCACAAGTTGCTGCCATTCAAGCCATCATGGCTTGCTGTTGAATATCTGTTTATTATTTCTTTGGTAACATAAATCTAAGGGAATTTCTTAGTCTTTTAGATCAACTATGAAGGACACTTCAGTGCTTTCCTTGCAGCTTGCACATTTATTGCCATATCTTTTGAGCTGTGACATCAGAGTTGGTCATATTATCCAAGCAGAGTAGAGACAAATGCTACTCATTAATACTGTCTTGTACTCTTTTTCAAAATTCTCACTTGTATGTACAACTCCAGAAAGGTTAATACCTTCCTGTACTAAAACATTTAGGGCAATAGGAAGAATTTCTTCACAGAAAGGGTGGTTAGATATTGGAATGGGATACCCAGAGGCTGGTGGTGGTGTCACTGTCTCTGGAGGTGTTTAAGGAAAGACTGAACGTGGCACTGAATGCCTTGGTGGTGTTAAGTSATAGGTTGAACTCAGTGATCTCAGATCTATCCCAGCCTAATTGATTCTGTGGTTTTGTGATTTTCAACAGGTGGCTCCTGTCACTTCATTTCTACAGCTAAATGCAAATTTTCAAAAAGTCCTGACTTACATCCTCCAGCTGTGGCTTTTAGGACAAAACATTGCATTAGGTTTATCACAGTGAATTCTCTGCTAAGGTGGTCGTGTTTCTCTGTCATCTGAATTGAGATTTTATTCCCCCTGCCATGGGCAGAGACAASTCCCACTCAATTCCCCATCCAACCTKCCCTTGAATGCTTCCAGGGGTGGGGCAGCCAYAGCTACTCTGTGAAACCTATTTCATTTTGATTAGTAATATAATTTTTAAAATATATTCTTCTAACTATATTTGAAATTAATTTTTCAGGTCAGCTGACTGCTCTTAAATTTTTTTGTCAGCTGCAGCTCTGATTTTATATAGACTTGATTTTTTTCATCTGAAATGTCTGTGGTAGAAAACAAATTATCTCACAAGCATTTACATCAATAGTGCCCAGGTACTGGCTATCTGACTGTGCCAGCAGATTTGAAGAAATGGACAATTGCATAAGGAAGTGATGTGGAAGTGTCATTTAGGCCTAAACTGCTTCTCAAACACTTGTTGAGTGAATTTCTTCATGACTSTGTATCAACCTCTCCAGGAATGGAACCAAACAAGCTGCCAGGCAGCCACTGTGAGGGTTTTGTTGTATTTCCTTGGCTGTTTAATGTATTTGTTTATCAGAAACTGAAGTGTTCTTCCTTAAACCAAGCAGTCCTGGCTACAAATGCGTCATCTCCGTGTCTCTGCCTCTTCAAATGAGGTTCACTGACACATGAGTGTCTGAAGAATCTGTCCCAGCTYCCAGCATTTGGAGGCCTACATGAGGGAAATGTCAAGATGCTTTATATTCTGGAAACATGCATTCCTTTCTCATGGTTGCTGTAAATATTCTCTCCTTATCTTGCWAGCCCATCTGAGGAAGAATAATTATAATCTTTCTACTCCCTCAAACTAAAGTGGGGTGTCTGGAAATTAGCTGAGAGACTAAAAGTGAAGCATTGAGCAAGCAACATTTTACATAGTAAAAACATGCATGAAATTGTGATCCTATGTAAGAACTAGCTTACAAGATAACAGCTCTTTTGAAGTAAACAAATATTGTCTTTATTTAAAAGAAAAACAACCAACCAAACAAAAAAAACCCCAAAACAAACAAAAAAACAACAAAATACCCCAAACCTACAGGTTTAAAGGAAGAAAGGTGAGGTTCACAGCATATATTGTTCTGGTTGGGTATCTCAGTCCTTGGTACATCTCCAAGCTCAGACAACATCAGGACAACCACACATGTGAAATGCAAAGAAAGGGTCTAGTCCAGACCAAAAGAAATTTAGTTTTTCTGGAGAGCTGAAAGGCATCTTTCAGTAGAAAGATTGTTTTAGAAAGCTTATATTTTGTTTGCTCCCCAAAAGTTGCTTATTACACTTGGTAACATTTTCAACCAGTAATGATTTTTTTCATTTTTCATTACTTATAGTAGCAGTGAGCTTTGACTGCTGGCCTGCCTCAGGCCTCTCAAAGCCTGGGTATCAGAAAACCAGGGGTCTTATTGAACAGAGACTGCTTAGGTTGGTGTTCTTTTCTGTGGATAAATAATGACCAAGTCATCRTGCTAATACTGAGCTGTAAGCAGCATCTCCCATTATCCATTCTGTACTGCTTTGCTCCTAATAGGTTGTTTCTTCACCAGCACAAGTCAGAAAGCATTTTAGCACTTAATTATTCTATTTTTTGCCATTGCTTTCCTAAACAAAAGTTATCAGCTATGACCTTCTTAGGCGTCTTCAGTCAAATGTATGATAATGATGCTGAAAGATGGATATTTAGGCAGATCAAGTTAAAGTATGAAAGTCCCCTTGGGACAACTACAACCCTTACTAAGGTGTATGTCACAGATGTCCACCGTCTAGGATGAGAAAAATCCATTTGTGTGAGGTGTTTTATATGAGAAAATTTTGGCAAAGGGAAAAACAATTCCTCATTTTATTATGTGGATAATCTAGAGGGTGAAGACTCTTCTCACCTATAGACACAAGAAGAAAGCAAAACAGAGCTCTATTTAGGCAAAAAGGGAAACATGGAATAGACGGGCAAGTAAAACTAAAATTTACAAAAGTGTTTCTTAAAAATAAAAAAGAACAAAAAGGAATAGAAAGMTGTCTATGGTACAATTGCAGCTGCTGGTAAAATAAGTGGTCTTTGAGATGCTGGGCAGGAGTACAGAATGCACTGGATAAAAGGTCTTAGTAGCTAAAKAGTATTGCTTATTCATTACTGTTTTATTCCATTATTTTTTACTGCACTACTGAACCAGATGTTTTTGATTACCTTTTAAATTTATTTTAAAAATTCTAAAACCAAATATCTCTCAAAATTATGATGAATCAGATTCCTAAATAAACCTAGCATAGCAGAAACATAAATCCATTGGAAGTATTAGCTGATCTTGGCATAAATTGACTGTAAAACCCTGGAAAAGCTGTAAAGTTTGTGAAGATCAGCACACATTTTCTACAGTACAGGGATGAAATACCAGTGTTTTTGGTGCACCCTGATAGGTTCCAGCAATTAAATGTCTGTGTGGATTTTTAAAAGGGATTTTATAAAAATTTGAAAATATTTTTGTGTTAATACGGCTCCATGGCAATACATTCCTTGTTTGCAAAGACAGCAGCTGAAGAAATTTCATTAATAGGGTGGTGAAGTATTGGCACAGGGTGCCCAGAGAAGCTGTGGCTGCCCCATCTGGAAGGGTTCAAGGGTTGGAGAGGGCTTGGCAGTGAGTTGGAATAAGATGATCTTTCATCTTCCATCCAACCCAAAGCTTTCTGTGTTTCTGTGRTTCTATGATWYCTGAAGAAGTAAGAATTATGTMTTTAGCACCCTTTTTACCTRCCATTCCTCCYCTCCCATCCCCTCCTCTCKAATTTGTTAGAARGGAAAGAAACTTGCCATTAATGATCAAAATGTTCTAACTGATTTTTTTTTTGTGCACAGTATTTTCACTCCCAGGCCAAAGGTTCTCTGCTGGAAAAAACCACTACTGGATGGAACAAATATAAACAGGAATGCTTGAAAATGCTGCAGGAATCATCTGTAGATAGTGGTAAGGAATGAAACAATGAGGAAATGTATTGAGTGACACCGATGAATATGCAAATATTGTCTTGCTGGCTTTGCAGACGTTTATGTCTGTTCCTAATTTCTAAACGTGGAACAATCAGCTGTATTAACCATGCAAACATGCAATCATTAAATTAATGGCTCTCTTAATCCTGAAACACACTAGGTTCCTATATGTAAAACCAGATCATATAAAGAAGGCAATCAGTGAACACTTAATGCTTTGGTACCACTGTGGTGTGGCACTGAGTGCCTGGTCCAGAGGTATCTGCTAGACATTTTCTGTAAGAACATAGTGAGAATACATCTCACTTTGCTTTTCAGCCTGAAAGAAGCCAAACTACCCAGGAAAAAAAAAGATGTCTCCCATTTCTATAATTTAAAGACTGAGCCATGACAGATGGACCCAAAACCCTTGAGGCAAGACAGAACTTGTTTTCTGCCTGGTCAAGGCACCTTCTCACAGGACTGCTTGTGCATTTTGGGACACATCCATATCCAGTAGGATTACAAGCTAAAACACAAAGCCAGGCTTCCCCATGTACACCTGACACAAACATTAGCTTAAAGTTCCTTGTTTATTCTCCTGTCTCTGTGGCTTTTGTATTCTTAGATGAAGAGCAGAATATCTACATTGCYTTCTCCTGAATCCATGCCTCCACCTTGGATTGGGGGCTCAAAGTTTTATGCTGTCATTATTTCACACTTAAATGGTATGATTTCTGCTCAGCATCTGTCTCCAGGAAAGGAAGGCATGGGTTTGGTTGGAATAGTTGGAGAAGTCCAAGATGTAGCTGGGAGARAGATGACTGCTGTTCACCAAGGAAAGACTAAAAGTGAATCTGTGCTYTATGTTTTCTACTCATGGGCTGTAGGCAGGTATTGAAAACAMCCTCACCAAGTTTGTTGGTGACTCCAAACTGGAAGGTGTCAGAAGTCAGAGCCATTYGTGGAAAATAAGGAAGGAAAAAACACCAGAAAGTCAGAGAAAAGAAGCTTCCATACCTTACTAACTATGACTACAGTCAGGAAGGCAAGAAGACACTGATGAGGATAGCAGAGGGGACAAAAATTTTTATGGAAAGCAGGAAAAGCAAAGCATTTATCAACTCAGCCAGTACACCTGCAGGATGGCTTGCARCTAATGCTGACAGGAAAGAAAGGAGCTTTAGTGAGCAGTTAGAAGTCAATAGCCTGTGGTGAACAGCTGGTGTGCAGAGAACATTAGCATGATGCAAAAGAAGATTGCATTTTGCCAGGAACACAGAGATTGATGGCTTTGGTGGCAATTAGAACTRARCCAGATGACCCTGGCAAGATATTGSAGGGCAGTARTTTGTAGTAGGTGATCAAGAAAACTACAGGGACTCAGAACTTCAGTTTTCATGAAACTGAACAAAAGGGTATTTTTCTCCTGGCAGCATCACAAATGCACACTTGAACAAACCTTGATCAGAAATTAAGGAAAGGAACAATAAAAATGCAGCTATAATTATTAACAGCTGCACAGGTCATAACACAGATGTTCAGCTTCAAAGGTACAACAGAATAAGTAAGAATGCCTATACTGTACTCTGTATTTTAGCAGCAGCACCCCAAAAAGGTGTTGATGAGATAACACAGAACCATCTTTCTTGCTCCCTGTGTTCTTCTTCCCACACAAGTTTCCCAAAGTATTGCTAAAAATAAAGCAGGATATACTCTTCTGGCTTAGGATGAGCAAAACCATTGAAGTTAAGAGAGAACTTGGGCATTATCCTGAAAGAAAGATAGAAACTAACCAAGACATTAGTGCAGCCATTAATGCATTTTATTTTGTGTKGCTGTGACCTGACTGCACCATTTCAACTCTGCATTATCAAATGTTTTATCTTAACTGTAAGTCCTGTGAGTGATGTGATACCTGTGAAGATTAAAACTGAGTTAGACATTGCCAGAGATATAAGCTCTAGTCATATCTCTGGTAATAAGAGATATTGCCCAAAAACTAAGAGGAGTTACTATGAGAGGTGGTCTGAGCTAAGGACTARTGTTGCAGGGGTCAGGAAAGGTGGAATATCTTCCATTTACCAGTTTGCTGCATGTACCAAAACCAGTGAGTGRTTGCATGGCTGTGATCTGACTGCTACATTTGGACCACAGAGGCTTCAGGATCATACAATCATAAAATCCCAGAATCATACAACATCCTGAGTTGAAAGGACCCTCAAGGATAATCAAATCCAGCCCCTGTCCCTGCCCAGACCCCCCCAAACAATCGCACCCTGTGCATCCCTGGCAGCGCTGCCCAAACGCTCCTGCAGCTCTGGGATCATTCCCTGGGGAGCCTGGGCAGTGCCAGCACCCTCTGGGGACAGAAGAACCTTTCCTGATATCCAACCTCACCCTCCCCTGATGCAGCTCCAGCTGTTCCCTCTGGTCCTGTCCCTGGTCACAGAGGGGCAGAGATCAGAGCTTTCCCTCGAGAGGAAGCTGCAGACCCCAGTGAGGTCTGACCTCAGCTTCCTCATGATTTTAAGCAATAAACTTATCTTCTAGTGAAGAGCTGATGCATGAACTCAGGGAAGAAGGGCAGCATGGGTTTTCTRCCTTGTGCAAAGGCACAGTGTGTATTCACATGTGTATTGTGAATWCAGTGAATATACAACATTTACTTGCAATATCTTGTTACTCTGGAGTAGYTTGAAGGTTACCTGGAACAGCACAAAATGTTTTCCATGACTGTCCRTTGTCTGGACAACTTTTTGTAAAACTTTTATTTTCTTCTCTCCCCAGGAGTATATTGTAATGGGACGTTTGATCAATTTGTTTGCTGGCCTTATTCACCCCCAGGAAATGTCTCTGTTCCTTGTCCTTCATATTTGCCATGGCTGGAAAATGGTAATRTAAAAGTGGTAACTTTTCTTGGAGTTTGTGACAGGAATTCAGCTTAAGGACAAGGGAGTGGTTGCCTAACTTGCCCCAACATCCTCTGAAGTGGATGAGTGAGAAAGAGTCTCACCTCTTTCTACCACTTCTGAACTGAAGCACAAAATAATTTTCTATGTTTATTTGCTCTTTTTCTCCATCTATGCTTGCCACAGCACCATATTTTCTGCTATAAAGCAATATTTGCGAGGTCATGTAACCATACAGCCAGGGCTTTATTCTAGTAATAATTTCAGGGTTCAGTTTCTGAGGTTCAAATTCTGGGGTCCCCACTGATCCCAGACATGAAGCTCTCCCAGAAAACTGGAGGAGCCAAACGAAGTGGCATTCCAAGTAATCAGCCCTCTATGGGGTACAGCACACTGCCAGCAAGTGGTGTGTGAACAAACCTTCCAAGCAGCCTTTTCCTAGAGGAAATGGAGCAGGGGGCTCTCAGGAAGGAGGAGGAAAAACCACATTCAGGAGCAAAACTATTGAAGACCAAGCAATATTCCCTTTCTCCTAAAGAAAGGAAAGGGCATTTCTATCACCACAGACCAGCATTTCTGAATCCTGCTAAACAGCCTTTCTTAGATGCATTTCTAATACCACTTGGAGGGACCAATTCTGCCTGAATCCTTTAATTTATGGGAGACTATTATCAGCTGCTCATCCCAGCTTTCTCCAGCCCACACCACACGTGGTATGCTCTTTAATATCATTTTTCTTTTTTTTATGCTGATAAGCAGTAAGAGACCACACTTCTGTCTAGTTTCCCAAACTGCTTCTGCCAACCATTTAGAACAAACCCAACCCTTTGTAATAAACAAAAGCATCTTGCCTCCATGGAATGGAGACTCTTTTTTCTATCTGAATTTCTACAAAAGCAAGATGTAAGATATTGCACCAGGTTATGAAGCTTTKAATTATGTTCACAGTGGGGAACATAGTGGGGCTGCTCTGTGAAAGCATCATCTGATATCCTCATCCATGCCACAGTGCCTTTGGAGAAGAGRTATTACAGACAGCCCAGCTATCTGTTTGTCCAAAAGATTTTGCAGGACTGGGTTAGGATTGTTTGTGGACCCCATTTCCATTGCTGGTCCCATTTTCAAGGCATAGGTGTATCTMTCCTGGGACACYRGTGGACTTGAACTGGAAATGCTTGGCAGCTTGAGGTGAATTTATTGTGGTTTGTCATCATTGCCAAGTCTGAAGCACTGAAAAAATTGGCTGATCTAGCAATGAGATTTTTGATCATTGTGATCACATTTCATAGAGGGTTTAAGATTTTTTTTTCAGTGTCCCGGTATTCATACAGAGCTTCTTCTCCATCACAACAAATTGTGCTCCCAAAGCAATTCTCTCAGCTCCAGCTACCCCAAGCAAAACAGGATATTCTGGTTGTTGCTTCCACCCTTAAACACTTTCAACTCAAAAATTATTGAAAAAAGGTCACATCTGATAAGAGATAAATGGATGGCAGCTGTTAARGAGAACATCAAACAAACATCACCCAGCATCTCCATACCATTCCTCTGATGCTGTGTGCAATTTCCTTATTAGTATAAACCAGGACAATGCAGTGAAAACCAAGAAAACTTCACCAGTTCACCCCACCTGCTGAAGGGAACCCAGAACACAGAAATTAAACCCAGCCTGGAACACCTGCAACATCAGGTGTTACAGAGAAAKGTCATTCCCTAATAAAATCCTTGTGCAGTTTTGACTGCACAACATGGCCAATGAATTACCCATATTTTATGGGTACTGAGGAAAAATGAATAAAGTGAGATAAGCTTTTCTTTTGGATGTACTATGTGGGTTTTCTTGTAAAAACCAGGTATATTCTAGGACTTTATTTCTGCTAGATTACTTTCCTATTTTTTCCTGTGTAAATATGAAAACTATATTGACAAAGACAAAATAAAAGAGGGTTTTATTCTTTTTTTGAGTATGGATGGTGTGGAGGTACAAGGCAGAAAACTTTTCAATGTGTATGAAAAATGTAATCTTTATTTTGACCTTTCAAACTAAAACTCTGTTTACTTTCAGGAAGTGTAGGACATGTATACAGAGTCTGCYTGGATGAAGGGATTTGGCAAACAAAGGAAAATTCCACAGACATTTGGCGGGATAGTTCAGAATGTTCTGAGAAAAATCATTTTCAAGAAAAAGTAAGCATGTTTTATATTATGGTTGAATACTTTAATCTTCTTAATCCTTTCTTGAGTAACTGACAAAACATTTCCATCTAATATCTGCAAGGAATCTTCAGATTTTATTTAAATTAYCAAATGGAAAGCTGTTATTTTAAAGAAGCAGAAGAGAAAATATTAAATAAGGGGATTCCTGCTTTGAATGCCGTAAGGTATTTTCTGTTCAGAGTYCAGTATTCACATGTGCTGATTTTCTCCTAATAAAATAGAAGAAGACTGCAACTTGTCAAGCAAGTAASCGTCCCATCATTTCCCCAAATTGCATTAGTCTGTCAAAGTCTGACAACTTCCCTTCTGTGCCTTTCATCATTTAATGAGCCTTTTAACTTTTTAGGAGCATTTTAATTGGTAATTTCAAATTTAGTTGGTCAGAGATTGGAGGATTCATCCTAAGCTAATGCCATCCTTCCTGTATTTCTCATATTGCATTAGCCCAGGGGCTGGGCTTTATCAGCCAAACYTCTTTTGCCATGGAGTTCAGCTTAGCAGATGTCAAAATTAGGTCTCTTAGGTAAGCTCTGTCACCACTATTTTTTACTTTTTAATACTGAGTGCTGTTTCTTACTTTATCAAGTACCATTGCTTTACTGGTTTGTTATGAAACATTGTTAGCTCAGTATCTCTATGTATTCCTGTGTTTTTAGTCAGCTCTTTATATAGTAAGTACATTAATTTCCAAACTTTCAGTTTATTTATGCAAGTAATAACTATTTATAAGTTCTGAGTGTTTTCTAAGGTTTGTTGACCATTCTGGATTGCAATTTTTTTTTTCTGTGGGACATATTATCTTATCTTATGTGATAGCAGACAATTTCTTTGAAAGCTTTAACTAGTTTTTCTACCAACACTAAGTGTACCTGTTTGTACCTGTTTGTTTTATTTAATGGAAACCCCCAAGATGTTGGAAATAACCCAGAGCTAGTATCTGCACACATCACAGGAATCAGCTTGGTTTCAGGTGCCTTTGTGTTGCAAAATTGAAATAGCCAAGATGATAATTTAGGATTTTTACAGGGTTCTTGCCYRCTGGAATGTTTCCATGGAATAATGKCTGGGAATCTCCTGCACCCACACTGCTTTTGCTGGGCACTTTCACCCTCTTCAACAGAGGCATGGCTCACTAGCATAAAATTATTAGAGAAAACTACTGGCAGGAAGACAGTGCTAAAGTCCCTGGTGCTGAATGTAAAACAAGAAAAATAGCTAACTCACTGAGCAAAAGGTTCCAAGAAAATCTCTGTAGGCTAAATATGGATTATGGAAGTCACATAATCTGTATCTCACATTCCTTCTTCAGAGATGCTTTCCTTGGGCTAGGAAAAAGGTGTGAATAGTTGAGAGGTAGACATAAGCAGCTAAAACAGAAAAAGTGTAGGAAAAAGAAATGTTAAATTAAAYTAATTGAAAGGAAATTCATGCAAGGCCAGGAGTTGGACTTCAATGATCCTTGTGTGTACCTTTCARCTCAGGATGTTCTGTGATAATCTGTGGAAGTGTGAATGGTTTCCTTCCTCCTCTGAGGTCTTATTTGTCATTCAAAGACATTCAAGACAGCTGTAATTTAATATTTTTTTTCCTTTGATCTCAAGATGGATGTCAGTCTATTTCAATACCTGTAGACARAGCTGACTCTCAAAATTGTACAGACTCAGTTGGTCAGTAACTGGTATATACAGATCACACACACACCAGTGCTCTTGTGTGTGCAGGTTCAGAGCTGATCTCTGCAGCTCTTAACCCACCAGGATCCATTTGGTGCATGGAATCATGGCAATGATTAACTGTGATTTGGACTRTGAATGGCATTTGTGCAGAAGAAATCTGGAAACAGTCTGTGATTGCCTTTGTATTTAAAAAGAAACTAAGACTGGGTGCAAGTATTTTTGTCATGYTCTGATTTCAAAAGGCAGTGCATGGAGCTGGGGTCAGAATCCTCCCCAGCTCCTTGCAACTCAGAGAAGGTGAACTCAAAAGTTTCAGAGTGATGTTGGTGCTCTCTCCCCTTGCCTACATAACATTTTTCTTCTTTGTTCACAGGAAGAAGAACATAAACTACTTACCACATTACAGYTGTTATACACTATAGGATATTACTTTTCTCTCATCTCACTGGTGTTAGCTCTGCTTATACTTTCTTTACTCAGGTTAGTATATATTTACACACATTTTAAAAGTACAGAACCCTGTATTCTTATTCTTCTTTTCATGAAATTGAATTTATTATTTAGGTTCCAGTGTTCCAGTACCTTCCAGCCTTCCAGTACCTGAAGGGGCTACAAAAATGCTGAGGTCATCCTCAGATTTGGACAAGGACATGGACTGAGAGGAGCAAGGGGGGATGGTTTTAAGCAGAAGACAATAGATTTAGATTGGATATTAGGTAGAAATTCTTTACAGTGAGGCCCTGGCACACGTCATCCATAGAAACCACCCCATTTCTGGAAGTGTTTAAGGCCAAGATGGATGAGCCTTGCAGCAATCTGGTCCAGTGGAAGGTGTTCCTGCCCATGGAAGGGGTATAGAATGAGATGGACTTTAAGATTCTTTCAAACTCAAACCATTCTGTTGATTCCATATAAATAACTTTTACTTTTCTAACAAGCAATACAAATGCAAAAATAAGCAAAATCCATTGATGGCAACAATCCAAACACAACAGTTGTTTTGCTGTGTTTTTGTTGATTTTTTTAAATTTTTATATCTGCAAATTAAATATAGTCCAGAGGATTCATAYTATTTTTTTTTCTCCCACAGAAAACTTCACTGCACAAGAAACTACATCCATATGAATTTATTTGCATCTTTTATCTTGCGTGCCATAGCAGTTCTTGTAAAAGATGCTGTATATTACAATATTTACTCAAAAAGACCAAATGATGAAACTGGATGGATATTATACCTCAGTCCAGAGGTAATGGATTAGTTCATAGCTAATTGTAAATGTGTTCTTCTAATGGTCATAACAGTTATAGTTTGGGAAGTTTGCCCTCTAGCATCAGGTTTTGAGGTGTTTGTTAGTTGAGCTTTGGATGCTGAAATTTTGTTGATAAAAGTAATCAGGTAAAGGGGTAATCAAGATAAAATCTTGATTGTAATAGATTTATTTTATGTGAAAGCTCATATATCAAGAACATATTATTTGATTGTAATATTTGGAAACAGCCACCTAAGCAAAACAACTTACACCTTTTGGCTTTTATAAAGAAATCTTTGCATTTTTTGGCACTTATTTAGGGGAGCTGGAACTGGATGCTCTYCCAWCCCAAAYCATTTTGGGATTCTGTGATTTTCTGTAAGAGAGCACTAAGAGAGAGAAAAATAGTATAAAGGCTTTTCTGTACTAGGAAAATGTACTAATTTTCTTACATTTATTTAGAAATGGAGTARCAGCATCTCATTTGTGACCATTGTGAATAAATTATGCTTTTATGTATCATCTTTTAAGTATGATGTTGTAGGAATAGACCTTGCCTATGTCAACAAGGAAAATTATCTGCAAGATGTTAATGACAACTATTATTTTAATAGCTCATCAGTAAAACTTCTGATATGCAGATCATAACATCTATATTTACAATGATTCCTGATCTATCATTTCTACAGATTGTAATCCTTTGCAGGACTGCCCAGTTTTTCATGCATTACTTTGTTGGGGCAAATTACTTTTGGCTATTAGTAGAAGGAATTTATCTGCATACATTATTGATAACTGTGGTACTCTCTGAAAGACGACTGCTACAGACATACATTGTGATAGGATGGGGTAAGTCTGTAATTGTTTCCAATTACTGATTATGTGGTGCTTTATTGAGTCAGTGAAGGATATTTTGTAAAGAAGAAAAAAAACCTCTGAATTCTGTTTTATTCATTAATTTTGAAGCCAGGGATTGTAAATGCAGATATGTCAGCAGTGGTACATTCTCTGCAATTCAGCTTGACCTGAAAGTGTAGGAAATCAGGAAATTATTTTGTAAGAAAACAGATGCCTGGTGGGCAGAACAAGAAGAAATTTCCACCTATTTGACTGTACATTGCCATCACTGAATAGTATGGTACTACTGGCAACTTCATTTCCTTCCTTTGTAATAGAGCACCTCTATAGCAAAAATATTGAAACATTAGCAATTTTCATTTCAATGTTCCCCTTTCCAGCTCACTTGAAAGTTCTAAGGTGTGCTTTAAGTTAGAGGTCAATCTGAAGCACTGCATGAGTCAGGTCTTATATTCCAGGCATTATCCATGATATAAAGCCAATTTAAAGGTAATTGTGCTGCACAGGAACAGCCTTTGATAACACCACCTCACCATCCTGGCTATCACCTTTCCTCATGGCACCCCCTCATATTCCCCTGGATCTACAGTTCTGTTCCCAAGTGCTCCAATGCTCTTGCAGACCCTCTCGTTTCACCAATACCATCTCCTACCCAAGTAAGACCCCTTTAATCTCCTTCCTCCTTTTACCTACACAGATATATATTCTCTTGGAGAGCATTATGTTTCTGGCCCTTTCTCTGTATTGCCACACTCCAGCTTTCACCATGACYTTAGCTGGTGTCCCAGGATCCTGAATAGTCCCTGTTCTGGTCCCAGTGATCCACACTTCCTTTAATTTCTGCCACATCCACCAGAAAATCTCCTGTGTGTGTTATTGGGCTGAGAATCCAGTGGAACACCTGCTTGCTGTAGTCACGTGCCTTGTGTTTGTGATTTGAGGCTTAATTCTTGCACTCTTGTAGTCCATTGGAATAGTGCTGTAATCCTTTATTTTAGGGAGGTTTATTTCAGTCAGTAGTCTATGATCTCCAAGAAGGAGTGGGGGCAAAAATAAGGGGATGGGGATTCTCTTGGAAAGGTCTAGGACAACAATCCTTTGTCAGCTGTTTTAATTAACTATTGTGAATGTATTTATCAGTCTGAAAATGMAAGATTCAACTACACAATGAACAGTCGTTTTGTATTTGAACTACAAATGGGGAAAGCCAGGACGGAGTTGATTTTTCTATAATTCTAAATAGAAGACTGAAAAGCACATATCCTTGCACAACACACTTCTACAAACTTGTCTGTAATTGACTGTTCTTTTCTTTTCAGTTGTTCCAATCCTGTTTGTGGGCCCTTGGGGAATAAGCAGATCCAAACTGGAGAATACTGGGTAGGTTGTTAAATAAAATGTGCCTTGCAATACTGGCTTTCTGTTTGCTTAGCTGAACACCCTTGGCAGTACTTGACATAAACACTGACGAGCAAATTATAAGATTATACAGCACTTCTTTATACATGTTACATTTTCAAGATTCCCTTTARTACTTTTACATTAAGCTACTTCTAGGAATTCTCAGATTTACTTATGCATAAAGCAAGAGATAGAATGAACTTTCACTGTTCCTGAAATGAAAAGTATTGCACCCAATGATCATCCATTTACACAATGCAAATTGTGCGCATCGACATCTTCATGGGGAGCATCCTGCCAGAAAGAAAAAGAGACCAGTGCTTTCCTTGGAGGCCATCTACACTTTGAATTTATTTAGTATTCACTGTYATTTTGTAAAAAAAAAATTWAAAAAGGAAAAGAAAAATATAATGGAGGCTAACGACAAAACCTGATAGTCACTGAAAGCTGATATTATTGAATGTGTTSAGTGTTTGGTGTGGGCATCAGTGACAGTAACATGCACTAGTAAGCAGCAGGTTTTGGTCTTCAGTGATGCTGTTGGTGACATCATATAAACTTTGAGGTTTATGTATGGTATCTTTTGTTCTCCTTTTATTTTTCATGGTTTCTAGACAATTTTATTTGGAACACCAATATGAATAATAAGGAACATCCAAATTATAATTATGATCTGACAGAGTTAGATGTCATATAAATTGTAAATGACAAGCCAAGATCCTACCGAACCTCAGGCTAATTAGCAAGAGGAAACATATGCATAGGACAAATTAGAAGGTTAAAGCAAGAGAAAAAAAGAAGAGACAGCTTCAAGGAAACAGTGTGCATATTTTTTAGCAGATCAAGAAGCATGGTCACAATTYCTAGTTTACTCATTTCAAGTCTCCAGTTTCAGATAGATAATTTAAGTAGGATRAATTCCATTATGAAGGTTTGGTATCATGTACAGTTGTTTTGTGGATTCAAAGMCTAAGTTTGACAGATAGTTCTGAAGTTTATGTTCTAGGGAAACCTTTAACAACATTAATGTAGAAAGAACCTCAGAATAAATGCAATTAGAGGAGTTGGTGAAACTCTTCCTAGTTTTAATCCATTTCTTTTGGGTGTCACATGAAAAAGTTGAATTTCGTCAAGTTCCTTTTGAAATATATATTAACCTTATATCAACCTTCTTGTTATGTTAACATTCTATTTTTTTTCCCCATTATAATAATAATACTTTAAAATATTCTCCAGGTGCTGGGGAACAAATGAACACATGGGGATCTGGTGGATCATCCGGGGACCAATGTTGTTTTCCATTGCAGTAAGAATTATATAACCTGTATTTTTTTCCCCTCCTTAGTCTTTGTAATTAGTGCYATTTTTGCCCTTCAAAATTTTGCAACAAATAAGATACACTTTCCTACTACAGAAATATCAAGGGGGACATAAAGTGACAGAATGTATAAGGTTTTTTCCAAAAAATGAAGAAACAGGGTTCTGTATTAAAAAATTGAAATGTTATTTTATGCTGGACGATCATGTATCAAATTATTTGTCAGGCTGAATAAGGCAATGCTAWGATACTCAACTTTGCATATTTAGTACCTTTTTTCATAGGACTTTTGGTTTGTGGAAGAAAAATTATTAATGATTCATAGGTATTTGTAGGTYTCATTAGAAAGAAATATTTGCAGATTGGTCTTGGTCAAGTGATGACAATTTAATTAAAAAATGAGTGAATCAGTTGTAAAAAGAATGCCCAGGACTTTTTTTTTTGGCTGCCTAGAGCCTCTGTATCTGAAGAACTGCAATTTCCTGTTTACCTGTCATGGTTTGGCAAAGAATTACATGATTTAAAGGTAAATAAACTATTAACTGTGTTGTTTGGAGAGAGTTGATGCCAGCAGAGTCTGTCACTGCTGCTCCCTGCTCTCTGTTGCAGCTGCCACAATAACCTGCTTGTATTCCAGCCTCATCGCAGTTGCATTCCAGTTATTGGGTGGCAGGTTTTCCAAGTGTTTAATATTAATTATCCATTTATTTATTAGCTATCTGATTWGTGTAGTAACATTTATTGTAAGTAAACCATGTGTATTTTCCTTCAAGGTTAACTTTGGCATCTTCTTAAAAATTCTCAGAATGCTGATTTCCAAACTAAAAGCTCAGCAAATGACTTTTCATGACTACAAGTACAGGTATGTAATAAAGGACACAGAAGTCATAGCCCCTTTTTGRAAACTTTGTCATATCAAAAACTTACCAGTTTGCCCTTAAAGATTTACCTACCACCTCCAGGGGTAATAGATACTCAGAATRTTATATAGGAGAGCCATCTGATAAAACAGGCTCCTCTGACATTTCCTTATCTGAGAGGCAAAGGCAGGTYAGCATCCCTGTGCTGAGTTTTGTGGGCATTTTCACGACGAGTTTTCAGTGCAGTGAGATCTCTGCTCTCAGGTATCTTCTCTCACACCTGTGGCTCTGCTGCTTTGACACATTTTTCCCTTTGTCTCCAAAATTCAGGAAGAAAATGAAAAATCCTSTAGCACTAYTTTTGTAGYGATARAGAATCAGGTATCACTTCATTCTGGCCAGGATGTGCCATGGAAAATATTCCATTTACATACGCCTTTAACTAGACAGATTTATACATACAAATCCCAAAGTAATTGTCATTCTATGATCCCAAATTACACAATTCTTAGTATCTGATTTCCTATTGGTTACTGATCCCTTCATCTTTGATGCTAATTTTGTCTTCATTCTTTGGTTCTTTTATCATCTTTTCCCAGACCTGGTGCCTCCGATGCACCAGGCAGGGGGGTCATGTTCAGGTGATGTTCAAGGATGATGTTTGTTAATATTTGTAAATGGTTCCCTGTCTCCTGTGTGTCTGCTGGTTACCCCCTACCAGYAGATCTTAAGCTCATCAGATCTGTCTGGTGAACAGCCTTTTGAAGGGAAACTTGAATTCCCTCTCCCCCTGAACAAAGGCAAGAAAATCCCTGACTAAAGTTAAAAAAGATAAGATATTGTATCATTTCCAACATCTAGAATGTGACAAAAAGTCCTCAAAAGAAAAGGGTGTGTAGATTTGTGAGATAATCTGAGGAGACACTAGCATTTCTGATCTACCTTAGCCTGYACTCTTGTAGGTCTTGGTGTGGGCTCTTTAGAAGTGTGTTAATGGTACATGATGTTTATCTAAGGTCTAGAGTTGACCTTTTCACAAACATCTTCCCACTTTGTGAAAACAGAAAGGGCTTTGCAAGGAGCTAAGGCTGCAGTGAAAACTTGGAAACAATGGAAACATGAGGATTTAACTGCTTTCCAAATCCCAGTACTTTTCTGTTCTAGGTATCTTTAATCAAGGCATTGTGAACTCCAGGTTGTTACTACTGTCCTGCCTTAGAAAGATTAATTATTGTCTAAAATGAGCAGGGGGGCAGAAATGGAAATTCCACTATCAACTTCCTATTAATATCCAGTATTATTTCCTTTACAAGAATATTTCTATTTTCCTTTAGCATTCAAGGTCCAAAAGATTTCAGTATGTTCCTTGGATTGCTGCAGGAAGATGGTTGTGATGAAAGACACAGATAGCAATGCCTAATGTTTTGTATTGTATTCTACTTCATCTTCTCTTCTTTCATCCATGGAAATGTAACTGAAACTGCAGGAAAAGCAAAAACTCTCTGACAACATTTGAACTTTTTTTATCATTCCATCACACATAGTTTTTACTTGATTTTTTCACATGCTTTTACAGCCAAAACCCATAGAAATTAATTGGTTCCATGTTCATTATTTCCAGGTCTCACAGTTCTTAGTATTTGGTTTCCTCTTGGTTATTGATCCCTTCACCTTCGATTTTAATAAGTTCTCATTCTTCCTTCTCTTATTTATCTTTTTCCAGACGAGGTGTCTCCAGCCAGCCAGGGGTGATGTTTGGAGTTGAGGCTCCATGAGTTAATGCTCATTTATCTCTTGTGCATCCTCTCGAAGCTCCCAGTCCATTGAGATGTTATCTCATCAGGTGTCCCCTGATGAAAGTCCCCTGAAAAGAAACTTCAATTCGCTACCCCCAGGGTGAAGGCAAACAAAACTCCTGACTAAAGTTACATTAAAAATTTTTAAACTTAGTATCATTTCCAACAGAAATATGTCCCCAGACTTCTTAAAGAAGATCCTCTTCCATAAAATGATTCTGGTTGAATTTTTTAAGAAATAGATGACTGCCAAGAGTATTGCAGGAACTCTCAATACGGTGACACAGTTTTCAGATGTGATAGGAAGGTATAAGAACCTTGCTACTAGTTCACTCATATTTAGCTAGGTAAATATTTTTCTGTTATCTAATAGTCTAAGTTTGATGATAGTGGCCTTTCTGTTCTTGTTCCTAACTATTCATCTAAAACTCAAAGCTAACATTCCTTTCTGTACAGACTTTTCTGATAGTGTGCTTCAAAACTCATATCTGGCGATTTATTCTCAAAATCATATATCTGCTACTACCATTCCAAGGTTAGAATATTGAGGGCTTGTTTTTGGAATAATTTCTTTGTCACCAAGTGTTTGATTTTAGCACCAAGGACATTTAAAAAATACAATAAATACACATTTTCTTTTTAAGATTGGCAAGATCTACACTTGTGTTAATTCCATTGTTGGGGATCCAYGAATTTGTATTTACATTCATCACTGATGAACAGGTGGAAGGACTTTCAAGACACATAAGACTTTTCATTCAGCTGACAATGAGCTCATTTCATGTAAGTACTGTTTTGCAAGTATTTTTTTTTTTATGGGTCATAGATCCATGTCCATATGCTGCTCACCACAATTGTTGTGAATTCTGATTTAATATTATGCTCCAAACTACAGTGTCTGTAAATACACTATGGCAGTAACAAGACAAAACACTTACAAACTGCATGCTCAAATATGGTAGYCCCAAACACCAAAAAATGGAGACTGACATTCTCAGAAACAGGATGTCCTATGTTCTCTGGTAATACATAACAATTCATCACAGACCCCTGAAGACAGCATTAAACTGTCTTTATTAACTGCATTAAACTGTCATATTTAAAACACTCCCAGCCAAAATCATAACTATGAGAATGTCTGCCTCATCCAAAGTTTGGGCTCCATTTGATTAAAGGATGTTCACCTTACCTGCAAAGTGACACTATGGATTCACAGATGTACACTCACAAAARCACTATACACGTGCATAAATTTCTAGAGCTGGGAGAAAATTTGTCAGAGCCCTTACATGGATKGAACAGGTGAATGGACCAGCATCTGCAGGTGGAAAAGAAGTTTTTCACCCATACAGYCAGGAGTGTTTTACAGATATTCATGCACTCAGCTCCTCTTCAGTCACCCTGCCTTAGTTTCSTGTTAAGTAAGCAGAAACCCGAGGTGAGGAAGGGAATGTGACTGTGACAACTCTTTGCCCTCAGATCTCAGCTGCAAGACTGAGGGGGTAAAGGAGCCACACTCCAATACAAGAGCCAGTTCTAGGTAGTCTAAATTCCAGAGTGAGTTGTTACTGGCACTCAGTGGTGATTCTCAGATGGATATTTATRCACAGGCATAGGGTGTGCTTCCCTATAACTATTTGCTCTCCAGTTGGCAAAGCCAAAGAACTGGACACGGGCACAAAGCATTGCTGTCTCCTTCTGTCTAAATTCGGCAGCCTGGCCAAGTAATGAATTTTTCAGATCGTACTAATGAACCTGCTCAACAAAGTTGTCCTTTACTCATGTCTTCCTGCCTTGATCTTGATGCAACAGGAGAGCAATTTCCAGATCTTCTTTATTTGCTGCAAAACCCAGCAATCTCACTGGTTCTAAGTCACTGCTCCTCAATAATTCACTGCTCTGACAGATGCTGCCTGCTTCTGCAACCTGGGGCATGAAGTGATTGGAGCATTGCTGCACTTTCCCCACAATTTATGATGATCCTTTGTTTCAGCCTTTACATATGCACCTGTGCTCTGGTGTATGTRTGCATCAGTGTTTTGACACTGTTATTGAGGCTATACTTTAAAATTTCCACTGCAGGGGAAAAATTTCCATTGAGGGGAAAAATATCACGARTGGCAGGAGAGAATTCCTGCAGAGCCACAATCCCAAGGAGCCTGCTGACATGGTGTTCCCAAATCACATAATTATTTGGGTTGGAAGGGACCTTAAGGTTGKAGTGTATGTTCCTTGGTTAGACATATCCTTACTTGGAGAGGTTGCAGTGGCTAGATGTTAATTTAAAAGCACAGCATCATTTTAAGTGAAAATTTTATTTACCGGCTTGCACAAAAAAAAATCTGATATATAAACCAGCTTACTCACTCTTGCTAAAGAACACAGACTTTATTCCTTTTAGAGAAACATGCATGCTCTTGGCAGCATGCTTTAGAAGCAAAACTTCATTAAAAAATACCCAAAGATCTTAGCCAATGTTTATTGCAGATTCTCTTTTTTAGCWACAGCATTATTTATTAAGGGATTAGCCAAAAAGCACATAAACTGTACACAATTACATTTGTTTAGTCTGTAAATCTTCTCAGTAGCTTTAAAAGGCAGTTAAACTGTTTTGTTAAAGAAAAACAATTATCCCTGGGATCTCAGCTGAAGGTTTAACTCAAACATTTTCAAGGAGCACAAAATTAAATTCTAAATAAGAGTTCTGCTGTAGGTATGAYGCTGCTTTGCTTTAGAAAGTGGAACAATTTAAACATCTTGGCTTTTTTATGCATGAAAACTGTCACTCAGGAAAAACCACTGGTTTCTGGTGGAGAAAACACAGTTATTTGATGAGCAGTTTATCATGTTGCCATTGTGAATAGAACTAAAGAACAATTGTGAGGCTTACATATGCATCTGTACTTTCCTATTGGTTTTTCTGCTAATGACCATTTATTCTGAATTTCTGATTCTTCACTTTCACTCATACTGGGATAATTCTGAAAATGTGTGTTTGAGAAGTCRCATTTTTAAGTGTGAAAATCAATTTACTGGGAAAAAATGAGTAACATTAAAGAAACAAGGATATAAAGTAAACATAAAATATARATAATTAGCAAAATTTTCCACCTTTTGCTATGATTTTACAGTGCTTCTGCTTGTCACTGCATGCTCTGATCCTGCAGCAGCAGTGAATTAGATTCACAGAGGTATTTRCAAACTGAAATCATCAGGGATGTTCACACAGGCAGCTCCTAATCTGGTGAGTCTCTGCATTTCTCACAGTGACCATCACCAGGCTTAGCAGGCAACAGGACTCAACACTACTGTGAAGCTTAAATTCTGTTTCTGCTTGCGGTGCCTGTGAGGCCAAATTTAGAATTCACACCCATAACACCCCTTCCCCCCACCCCCCACCCAACCATCCAGCAGAGTCCTGGACTTTCTACGCCCCAAAAGAGAAAACTGCCCTCGGGAGCAGAAGTTCTGCATAAAAGCTTGCTTTTTAAGCTAGCAAATTTGTATTTAATAAATTTAATATATTTGAATATTAAAAATCTTAAATTATAATACATTATATATTTATGTGTAATTATTACATTACAATATGTACTTAATATCATCTATTATTAACCCTAATGCACTCTATTTAACTATATCTTCCTACCATAACCCAGATGAAGCATGACAAATGATAGAAATAAAATACATGGAAAAAGCAATGCTGTTTGCTATTTCTCCTGTTCCCAYTGCTACTGGTGTGGCAGATAAACTGCTTTTTTTCATATGCTCAAGGAATTAATGACTCCAAATATTTCAGAATTGTTAGAAAAGTAACAGTAGGCTCAGAATGCTATTGGTATGCTAGGTATAATGAAAAATGTTGAAACTTCTGTGTATGTRAACTTATTTTTAAACTTTTGTCTGAGAAAAGCACAAACATTTCTMAAAAAGTATGAGTGTGGAAACAATTGAATGCTTTCATCTGCACTGTAAATGGTTACAGCACCTTTGTAGCTGTCATATAAACAGTGTCTCAGAACTCAGAGTATTTATTTATTGTTTTGATCAGTTTGTGTCATAGATGCCTTTAGACACACCAAAAGAATGGCATTTCCTGAAGTAGGGGGGATAAATCTGCATGTCTGTGCCAGCCTGTGGGTTGATGCAGCCTGTAAGCTGCTTTAGTCTGAGATCAAACACAGACAGAGGCAAATGCAAAGAATCAATGTGGAGTTGGTTTAAAACAAGTYGTATCTCTAGGACTTTCTAAGGTGTTTATCTAAATAAATTTCAAAGCAAAAATAGCAATTCAAGATAGCTGCAATGCTCAACAGCTGAACTTTGAACTAACACAAATCACTTAATACAGAAACAATTTGTAAAAAGCACACCAATGAGATCTGTCTCAGTAGACTCATTCACAAACCCAAACAAGCATATAGATGATACGAGAAACCAAGCTGCACTTTTAAAATTTCATCATGTTTGGACATAGAAGCAGTCACAGTATAACGGCAACAGTTTGGTAAAAAAAATGTTGTGTGGTAGCAAAATGAAGATAAAACTGGGTTGTATAGTCTGTTCTTCAGTGTCTGCACAAAATGTGCCCTGCACTTGCCAAGGAACTGCACAAAAACAAGTGACTGGGTACTTCATTAAGTAAATGCAGGCAACTAGTTTCCTGATTGAAAATTATGGGGCACTGTTTACATTTATGGTTTTAACACTAATGTCATCTTTAAATGAAGGCTTTGAGTATTTCCTGCACACTAACTTTTCCCTCTCACTCCCYTTCTCTTACAGGGTTTTTTGGTAGCAGTTCTTTATTGTTTTGCTAACGGAGAGGTAAGACAGAATGCTGTGAGAAAAGCTTTTAGTTCATTAGTAAAGTGTAATAATGACCAAGAACCAACACACTGACCAGCTCTGCTCATTGACAGCATGTAAGCATTTTTTGAGCTGGTAAAATTGTTTTGTGTGAAGAGAACAGCAAGAACTACCACAGGTTTGGACTCAAATGCAAAGTATTTTCACTGAAGCCTCAGTGGCTATACCACTGTGGAGGAATGGATAGCCTGGGGTGTGTGAAATACCATAAACTCTATGGGCAACCTGAGCCAGGTCCTCACCACCCTCACAGGGAAGAATATCCTCCTAACATCTGATCTAAATCTATCCTCTTGTAGTTTAAAACCATGTCCCCCCTTGTCCTATCACTATCTGCACATGTAAAAAGTGTCTCCCCAGCTTTTTTGTATGCCCCCTTTAGRCACTGGAAGGAGCTCTAAATTTCCCTGAGCCTTCTCCAGGCTGAACAACCCCAGCCCTCTCAACTTGACCTGAAAAATGATGCTATAGAATTAATCTCAGTTAATTTTAAATGTTTTTGAAGTTGAATCTTGCTGTTCTCCTTAATTTTGGCCCATGTGCAGACTGCCACTACTTGAAATAATCAGACACATATCCAGCATCAGGACACTAAAAAGCTGGGCAGAGACAGTTGGCATGGGACATACTACACAGACACAGCTATAGGGATTTGGACACTTCCCTAAAGACACCAGTGAAACAAATAGATGGGGTTTATACAGAAGGTAGGCCAGATGTTCCTAATATCTATTAAGGAAATCTGCAGYAATTTCAGAACTATTTAAATAAAACAGAGAGCTGGCAATTGCAATAGAGAAGTGCTTGTCTGACATTTGTGAAGGGCACAGAATTGCTAGCAGCTCTCATSAGCAGTTAAAAGGAGCTCTTTTGGCCTTCTACCACCTGGTCCTGCTGAACTCTCAGGCCAAAGTGCTGCTGGTTCGAGACGGGGGTTGTTCCACTCCTCCACACAGAGCCTGCCCTCTGCTGCAGTGCTGGCTGATGGGATGCAGGCAATGGGACATGAAGCTGAGAATTTCTGTCAGGCTGCCAGATAAAAAGCTTTAACAAAACAAACCAACTACACAAACAGAACACTTGGGCAAAGCTGCATGGCCCTCATTTCCACAGCCCCTGGGCCTTCCTCCTCTTCACTCCATCAGACTGTAAACAGGGAAGTCACTTGAGCTTTCACACACATTAAATTTGCCACAGAAACTCTTTCTAAAATCAGAGTGAAGAGGTTGGAATCTTCAGATTGATTTAGTAAACATGTCTGTTCCTACCCTACAAGGACCTCACCAGGTGCAAGATGAACCCCAAAGGGGCAGGAAGCTCAGCTATTCAYAGTTCCTCTCATTTTACAACTAGTATTTGTGTTAGTGAACTACAGGGTGGTCACATGCCATTACCATGACCAGACTATTTTCTCYTCCCCTCAGGTGAAAGCAGAGCTCCAGAAGCAGTGGTCCCGTTTCYTGCTGGCAGATCCCTTTGGCTGCAAACTCTGCTTTCTTGGGGAAAACATAAAATACCTCAGGAAATGTTCACAGAAACGAAAAAAACAGCACCTCAGCAGCAAACACCACTTTTGCCTGGAGGTGAGCAAGCCCTGGGACATGCAGCTGCAGCGGGTGCTGGGGAGGCAGAGGACAGAGCTTAAGSCAGGACACGGCTGTGTGCTCCCATCCTGCCCACAGATGAGCATGTCCGACAGCAGCGAGGGAGAGGTGACCACCGGAGAGACAACTGAGGAAGTCTTTGAGGAAAGTGAAATTTAGAAAGAGATCCACTGAGACAGCACCTTCCAACAGCCAGTGTTCAGAAAGATCTTCTTGCACCTCCAGACTGTTCAGAGCTCTGGGATAAGCAGTGCAAGAGACAAAGCAGTTTATATCCCAGATTCCCAATTTTCTTGATCTGACAAAAAGGTTGTCTGGATGTTGCTAGCCTGTGTGGCTGGATAGAAGAGGACTTCTGGAGCATTTTTGCTTCAAGCTGACATTTTTGCTTTTGTGACATACACAAGGAAGCAGGATGTACTCKGGACATAAGCAGGCTCTGGACATCGATGTGTCCCAGCAGCTTCATCTATATGTGACTGCCCTTTGAGTTATAKAATGAGAAATTGTTAGTTTTCCTTTTTCATAGGAGTGCTTCATAAATAGAGATATGTGTGTGGAAGAGTCCTTTCTTCACATACTCCATCTCAAGAAAACCACCCCAATTTTAGACCAAACCAGATACATTTTATTCCAGCAAAATGAAAATAAATAAATACATAAAACCCACCAAAAATCAGGAAGAACCAAACTTTTGCTTGCATTTTTTAACATCTTCACTTAAGTTTAGTGCTGGAAATGTCATTTTGAGACGAAAACCCAAGATATTTCCAAGGAATGTGCCCAAATGAAATGTTCTGATAAGATTTTTGTTACTTTATTTCTGTTGTTTTTTTSACACAAGGCACTGTGACTTCTGGTTTGCCCTACATGTGTTCTTAATGACAAATCAACTCAGTGGTAAGTGCTGCTTCTACTTTCCTTCCAGGGGACCCAAAATGCATAAAGACATAGGATTGTGAGAGCACCAAAAGAGCATTGTGAAATCTTTCTTCCACCGGTTTTTAACAAAAACCACGGTGAMGTTTTCATTTCTCACATAAAAACTCATCCAGAGATCTATGAAATGCAATCAAGTTTCTTAATATTCTATGATCCAGTTTCCAAATTTGTGAACATCAGCCAATTCACATACTGAAAGGGAAAAAAAAAGGCAGCAGAAAAGTTCACAGGTAGTATTTATTTGCAATATAAACACTTACCCCAGGTCACACATGTTAATTCTTTAGTTACATAGCACAGTTATTCATTTTCCCTGTACTTTACTGGCAAGCTTTTTTTTTTTTTTTTAACCTAGATGCCTGCCAATATAATAAGAGATATCCTGGGCAACTGGCTCCAGCTTCGAGCAGGTGACCTCTGGAGGATCCTTCCCACCTCAACCAGTGTGTGTTTCTGATTTTCAGGGCTGCTTTGTGGGTTCTATTCGTGCAGCTTGTTCCAACCAGGTGCCCACACCATGCCTGTTCCTCTGGCTTTTCTTGTTCCTGCACCTCCCCATGAGGTGGCTTTGACCCTGCTGCCAGCTTTGCACCTGCAAAGGGCACTTTTTTGAGACAGGTTGCCAATAGCTTCAATGTGTTGTTCAAGCAGACTGAATGTATGCAGCTTATATAACTTGCCAATGCTTTTATTATTATTTATYAGGCTACAAAGGTTTAACCATGCAACCTTTGGCAGTTATGATATACTTTTCTGTTACAAAGAATTGATCAATCCATTTACTAGCACTAGTTCAAGAACATATCTGGCACTTTAAAAATATTTCTTTTACAGTTCTATGTGTATTAACCTACCTAACCAATAAAAGTTGTATATTTCTGTAATATATTAATAAACTGTAAATGTCTGATCCATTTAAAAATATCTACAGCTTTTAAAGGCTTTTTACTACAATGTGCATTTTGTTTATATAGCATTATACTGCAAYGGATTTCTTCAGCAGCCACTGGAAACACCAGAGACCACACATACATACATTGTGCCTTCCATAATTTAAAATAGATTAATTTCTTCTAGAACCTTTGTTGAAGACATTAAAGAGCTTGAAGTGATTTAAAATGTGTTTTACTTAGGTGTTAAAAACGTCAAAATGTATCTTGGTGAAATAGTTTACTTTTTAATTACATTTTAAAGAGTTTCATATGGTCAATAAATCACTTTTCTCTGCTCTTAACAGCAGTGCCTCTAGCTGCATTTTCTCCTCTTTATTTTTGCCGCTTTCAGTTTATAAAAATCAACTGTTATATTAGCAGGCTCTGTAGGCCTGTGGTCTGATAAAAACAACCATTGCATGGATTATTTCAGAAAACAAGTTTCTGTGAGGAAAATTAATCCACAAACACCAAAGGTTTATATCCAAAAAGGAGACAGAGGAGTCCTG